TGCCTCATTTAGGGTGGACTTTTATGTATATAAAAAAAATAATTAAAAATTAGTATGGCATTGGAAGAAATAAAACCCAAATTAACAAGAGCCAATGGAGTCAACGCCAGCAAAATTGAACTTCGGAAAATCTCTGTTAGTACCAAGTGTTCAAGAGCTTGCCAAACAGCACCTAACCAATATTCCGGCCAGGTATGTCCACCCAGAGGAAGAATCTCCGGTCATATCCGCCGGAGCGTCGGTTCCAGTTATCGATGTTCAAAAGTTGATTTCAAGGGATTCCGTGGATTCTGAACTGCAAAAGCTTCACTCTGCTTGCCAACAATGGGGTTTCCTCCAGGTTTCATTTTCTTCATAATTTTGTTTAATTTATTATTCCGGTGTGTTTGGTAAGAACGAATTTTATTTTCATTGAAAATGATTTTCTTAAAAAGCTACTCCATAATTTATAGAAGTGATCATTTGTGTCAAAAGAGCGAAACTTCAAAGGCTCACCTAAAGTATACTTGTTTTTTTGGGTTTCGTATATCAACTTTCAGTTATGTGAGTTTCCTATTTGAATTAAATGTTTATTGAAACACACCTAAAATATCAATTGTTCCTTTTTCCTACTTATGATGACGATTTAGGTAGGAAAAGGAAATAACTGATAATTGATGTGTGTTTTGATGAATTACTAAGATAGAAAACGTGAACACATAATAGTTGGTGAGTATTTTTTTTTTGATGAATCGATTATGATAGTTCAAATAGGAAAGTGAACACTTGATAGTTGTCACGACCCAATTAAGGATCATGACCGGCGCTAAGGGGGAGAATCCCAAAGCAAGCCTCACCAGAATTCTACAGAAAATTGGGCAGAGTTTCCTTTGATTTTAGGCCTATCCTAGATTTTTCCTGTCTCATAAATTCACAACACAACTAATAGCAACTATAAACCACCATATAATATCCATCAATGATCAAATTGTCACGCAATAAAACCAATTCATCTCCAAATTACGGAAAAAGTTCCAAACTAGTCACTTGACTACAATTCGAAGGACTAATCTTGACTCAAATCAAAGAAATGACAAATGGAGCGACTCTAAGAGTTTTTAAAAGAAACTAAATAAACATAGCAAATCAATAATTCTCTTGCCACGCGAAGCAATGCGGGGATCACCAGATGCTACCAACTCACACGCTAGTTAATGAAATCCTCTTCAATACCACCTGAATTCTCTGTAAAAACAATTAGCGAGGAGTGAGACGCTAGCTCAGTGAGTAATAATACTTAACCACAACCATTTTAATGAGGGACAAGTCAGAAAACATGCTAGTGTAATAGTCATAATGATGAAACAATGCTCTTTCAGAAACAATAACAATATTCAATCTTAGGTGCCTCATATAAGCAAAATCAATGTAAATACCTAATAACAAACTCAGAAAAAGAACATTTTCATATCAGATCTTATAGCTGGGAGGTTTCCAAGGATGAATCATGTAATCAGTGTGGCCTTCTCTTTAAGAAGTAACCAATAACAGTGAACTCCTCATAAAAGAGTTAATTATTCATATCAATAGATCCCTACTCGAGGGATATTAGTAATAGTATACTAGTTCTACCTTCCCACTAGCAAGGGCTTTATCAGTAATCAGAACTACAAGGTGCACCAGGTCTAACGAACCCGCCGTTAGCTACGGGATTCATCAAGGTCTACTCCCATTTATATTTTTCTTATAATCAGTAAAAACAATTCAAAATCGAACAGAGCATTTAAATCTTATCAAATCATATCATTTCAAAGTTTAACAATCACCTGTCAAAATACTCAAATAAGTGTAAAACCTTTTCAATATCAGTAATCATATCTTATAAGAATGTGATCATCTCTCAAATAATCTTTTCAGTATCATATCCAGTAAAAGACTTGTCCCACATGCAAGTTCAAAACATTCGATAACACATTTACTTTATAAACCATGTGAAAGTCATGCAAGTTATAAAACATCAATTGTGGTAAGATTACTACTCACAGTACTCGTGTTGAAGTACCAAATCTGTCACTTGGGCAATCTGTATGACTTCCTTCAATCAATTTATAATCACATCATATCGGTCTCGTAATACTTCCTTCGTTTAGGCTAATTCATACTAAATTCAGAATACCCAATCTTCGAGGTTTTATGATAGACTCTCAATCTGTCAATTTGTATCAAATTGGTGCTTCAGATCCCACAAAACAGTCTCATTGTTGATTACTTCACCCTATAATAAACAAAACTAATGTCACTGTCCAGCAATTCTTCTTCGGTTTATGCCGAACTACAAAATTTTGGTCCAAACATTTAACATACTCACTCAAACCGTAAGATAATAAGAGTTTAACGGATTCCTTTATTCCTTCTAAACCCATGTTTTTCAAACTCTCAGTTCTCAAATTTATAGTCAGGGAATATACAAATTCAATCTTTAAACTAAGTTAAGATACTTACCTTGAAATCCATACTTGAAATAGCAAGAGTTCCACTTCTTCTCCATGTAGTTATTTTTCTCTGTTTTAATCGATTTCATGCTCCTTCACAGGAAGAGACTCCAAGAACATACTCTTTCTTCCTTTTTTTTCCCCAAGAATTGCTGACAAAACTCTTAACTCCAATAATTTCTTTAGCTTAAATTTAATTTTTCCCTTATTAGGTTTCTGATGGGCTAAGGCCCATTTGATTTTTTTTTAGCTAATGACTAATATGTCCTTGTTTAAAATATGGGATATTACATTAGTTCAGGTAGTAAACTCAAAAAATGGGGATACTTCTAATATATTTTTGATCGTGCACTCTTAACAAAACATGCAACTTTTAGAAACTTTGAATTTGCTAGCATATTGTTGAATGTTAGGTTATAAACCATGGAGTGACACCTTCATTACTGGAGGACTTTAAGAGAGAGGTTATTGAATTGTTCAAACTTCCAATCGAAGAAAAGAAGAAACTATGGCAACAGGAAGACAGCTTTGAAGGTTTCGGGAATGCATTCGTTGTATCAGAGGAGCAGAAGCTTGATTGGAGTGACATGTTTGCCATAATGACTCTTCCTCCTTATATCCGCAAAGAGGACTTGTTTCAGAATTTGCCCTCAAAGCTCAGGTGCCTATCCCCTCAAACCCTGTACATTACTCTATTCCAGAACACGATTATATAAACAACTCTATTCCAAAGTTCATTGCCTAAACGATCACTGAACTATTGGAAATAAGTGAACAAATTTACTTTTATATCAGATAAGTCAAGAAAATTGACTTTGTTCTGCTATTTCTGCTAGTTCATTGACCATTTTAGCAACAAACTCCTCTATCCGACGATATTAACGAGTTCTTAGAAAATTTTAGGGAGAAGTCCAAATTCGTCCCTTAGATCATTAACCAGGAGTTAGGTCCCTTTACTTTATTTTCCCTGAGGATTTGTAACTTACAATAAAATTGGTAAGCTGTTATGGCTAATAATAGATAAACACAAAATGAGGAGGAATAATATAGTTATGAACCTGCCCATAATGTTCTTGAGGTACACCACACTTGTTAACTATACTTTTTGTTAAAAATTGTATTTCTAAATTCTAACTTGTGCCTTGATCTTCGCTCTCCTCATCCCTTAATATGTTTGTGTGTTTGAAATGCAGGGACATCATGGAAGCATACTCCAAAGAAATGAAAAACCTAGCAAGGATCATCGTATGCCAATTGGCAAAGGCTTTAAGGATGGATGAAGAGGAAATGAGAGATCTATTCAGTGATGATCGTATGCAGTCAATGAGGATGAATTATTATCCGCCTTGCCCTGAGCCAGACAGGGCAATTGGCTTAAGCTCTCATTCTGATCCTGATGCCCTCACCATCCTTTTCCAGCTGAACGAAACTGAAGGTCTCCAAGTTCGAAAAGACGATGTTTGGGTGCCTATAGAGCCCCTCCCAAATGCTTTGATTGTGAATATAGGCGATATGATGGAGGTAAATAACAACTTTTTACTGAGTAGCTTATTTTTCAGAGGATAGCGACGTAGTGAAAATTGTAGTTTTGGTGTGCAAGTTATTGGTTAAGTTTGGTTTTATTCACAGTGTCATACAGCATGCTTCGCATATTAAACACTTCTGAATTTTCTTGAAAGGACTTAATGGAGACTTTATGTGTAATGGAATTCACATGATTCAAAAAGGAAGATAATATGTCTAGTTCGGATAATTAAAACTTGCTTGTTTTGAACAAATTGGTTTTATAAACCTTTTTTTTTGTTCTTGGTAAAGAAAGAGGTCATATTCTAATACGGTACTCTATTATTGAAAATATCATTTAAATTATTGTGGACGTAAATGATTTATTTGACTTGGCAGATAGTGAGCAATGGTGTTTATAGAAGCATTGAGCACAGAGCAATTGTAAACTCAAATGAAGAACGGCTCTCTGTTGCGACATTCTATTCTATCAACTTTGAATCCGAATTAGGACCTGCACACAGTCTCATTGGACCACATAATCCTCCCATTTTCCGAAGAGTTTCTGTGCATAAATATTTACAAGACTTTTTTGCACGAAAACTCAATGGAAATCATACCTTGATTACATGAAGGTAGAGGTGAAGGATGATGAATCCTACGTAGCATTTGATACACTAGTACAAGTTGCTCTGTTGTAATTTTGAGTTCCCCTGTTTGATTACTACAAAGAATAAAAATAGCACACACTTCATTTTTATTGAGAATATAAAGTTTCCTTTCTTGTAGTATTATATTGGTATGATGGAACTAGCATTTTGTCGTGCATAGAATTTTTATTTGTTACTTTGGAATAGTGGCAGGCGGCGATGTAAATATACAAAGACAAAATTATATAATTAAAATATGAAAAAATACTATTACTTGATAAATACTATTACTGTATGGTTTTGGAAGAAATAGATAAACCCAAAGCTGAATGGGATGTATAGTTTGAAGGAGTCATTTATATCTATAGGTCTGGTTTCTGCTGTTTCTTTTTCATCAGACGTTAATAATTTTCAATTTAATTAGTAACAAGAGGAAATGGAATCAACGCCGGTGGCAAAAATGAACTTTGGAAAATCTCTGTTAGTTCCAAGTGTTCAAGAGCTTGCCAAACAGCACCTAACCAATATTCCGGCCAGGTATGTCCGCCCAGAACAAGAATCTCCGGTCACGTACGCCGGAGCATTGGTCCCAGTTATCGATCTTCAAAAGTTGATTTCAGGGGATTCCATGGATTCTGAGCTGCAAAAGCTTCACTCGGCTTGTCAACAATGGGGTTTCCTCCAGGTTCCATTTTTTCATAATTTTTTTTGCTTTGAAAATGGTTCTTAAGGGGTATATGTATTCTAAATGATAAAGTTAGGCGATATATATTTGCACCTTCTCCTTTTATTTTATTGGAAGTAATTCTTTTTTAAACTTGGCTTAATTTTTGTGCGTCAACAATATCTATCGGAAATATAACTTGAATTGGTTGAGGGACTTTATAGGTGAAATGGAAATAGTTGAATGACTTTTTGATGAAAAAACTGTTAGCTGAGTGACAGTTTGAGAAATTAGCTTGTATATTGTTGAGTGATAGGTTATAAACCATGGAGTGACACCTTCGATCCTGGAGGATTTCAAGAGAGAGGTTATTGATTTGTTCAAACTTCCAATGGAAGAAAAGAAGAAACTATGGCAACAAGAAGATAGCTTTGAAGGTTTTGGGAATTCATTTGTTGTATCGGAGGAGCAGAAACTTGATTGGAATGACATGTTTGGCATAATGACTCTTCCTCTTCGTATCCGGAAAGTGGACTTGTTTCAGAAGTTGCCCTCGAATCTCAGGTGCCTGTCTCCTTTCTCTATTACTTTATTCCAGAGTTCATTACTTCAAGAGTTAAAAGTGTCAAAATCACACCTAAATTCTTGAGCTTCATATTTAGACTATTGAGAGTGTGAGTTTCCTACCTGAAATTCAGGGGCATTATAGAAGCATACTCGAATGAAATCAAGAGCCTAGCAATGATCATCGTATGTCAATTGGCAAAGGCTTTAAGGATAGATGAAAATGAAATGAGAGAGCTATTTAGTGATGGTATGCAGTCAATGAGGATGAATTATTATCCACCTTGCCCTGAGCCACACAAAACCATTGGCTTTAGCCCTCATTCTGATGCTGATGCCCTCACCATCCTTTTCCAGCTCGATGAAACTGAAGGTCTCCAAGTTCGAAATGACGATATTTGGGTGCCTATAAATCCCCTCCCAAATGCTTTGATTGTCAATATTGGCGATATGATGGAGGTAAATAACAACTCTTCTTCAAAAGGACTTAGTGTGGACTAAATGTAAAGAAATATTACTAATCGGTTTACTTGGATTGGAAAATATTATATGTAATATGTCTACGTGTGTTGGTAGATAATGAGCAATGGTGTTTATAAGAGCATTGAGCACAGAGCAATTGTAAACTCAAACAAAGAGAGACTCTCAGTTGCAACATTCTCTACCTTCAACCTTGATTCCGAATTAGGACCTGCACATAGCCTCATTGGACCAAATAATCCTCCTATTTTCCGAAGAGTTGTCGTGCAAAAATATTTACAGGATTTTTTTGCACGAAAACTTGACGGAAAATCTTACCTTGATGTCATGAAGGTAGAGGCGAGGAATGGAGAATCCTAGGTAGCATTTGATACATAAGTTACTCTTGTCGTTGAAATTTGGAGTTCCACTGTTTGATTACTATAAATAAGAAGAATAGAGTCTCTTCATTACATTATGTGTGACAATTTTTTATTTGTTGCTGAGTTAGATATCATATTTTTTGGGTTGTGTTGGAATGTATGCTTCTACTAACAGTCAATGGACCAGGTCCCTTGACACAGTAAAAACAGAATGTAAGCACATGCAGTAGTCAGCATCCAATATACGTCAACGGACCAGGTCCCTTGACTCAGCAAGAACAGTAGCTGAAATAAATGCCAAAAGTAAATGGCTAGAAGTAAAATCTGCACAATGATTTTACGTGAAAACCCCCTTGCTCAAGGGCGGTGAAAACCACGACCTGTCCTGACAGGCTTTTCAAACCAAACTCCATTTCTTCCAAATAAAGCAACGATTCAGATTACAACAACTTGCAACCTAGGAATTTACCTCTAACTCCCTTCCCCCTAAATGTAGCGTTCCACTACAAATAGAGCAACTAAGCAATATCACTATTGCCCACTAAGCTACCCGACACAGAATAACTTAGAATTCAACTAAGCAACACACATGTTGCCCACTAAACCACCACCCTTTGGACAATTTAGACTTTGACTAAGCAACAACAATGTTGCCCACTAAGCATATTGCAATCTTGCAGGGACCAGGTCCCTTGCAATGTTCTTTGGGAGTTCCCGTTGGACAAACACTTTCATCTATTCTGATTGGTTTCGTACCCTGGCGCCTCACCAACCACTGACTGACAAGACAACTTTACAATTGTGCCCCATTATGCATCTGATGAAGAGAACTCTGCCAGGGACCAGGTCCCTGCATTTGTGAGACACTGAAACAGACAATCTCGCCCGCTCTTCCTATTGGTGCAGTACACTGCACTTTTCACGTACCACCTGACATGATAGCTTTACAGTTGTACCCTATTTGAATCTGGACGAGAGCACTCTGCCAGGGACCAAGTCCCTGCATTTGTGAGGATCATCAAAATACCTAGAATATAACATTTTCCCCCTTTTTGATGATTACACATAAATATTCCTCACACTGAGTTTATTCATTCATTTCCCCTGCCAGCAGTCTTAATAACAAGGATCTAGTTCCTTGTTAGATTCCTAAGTTTGTTAAATCATCAAAACTTAATATCAGTTCCAAACTAACATTTTCCCTTTTTTTTTGATGATAACAGACTTATTCACTAGTTCCCATATCAACAAGAACTCTTCAGGTAACTGGAATTTTATCATCCCCGAAGTTTGTCAAATTATCAAAACATCAAAATAGCATTTCCCCCCTTTTTGATGATGGCAAACTTTTTCATCTTCTTCCCCCTATCGGTATGAGCATGTCCTCTTCAAGTAGCACTTCTTCCCCCTATCGACGTGACCATGTCCTCTTCAAGTAGCACTTCTTCCCCCTATCGACATGTCCATGTCCTCTTCAAGTAGCACTTCTTCCCCCTATCGACATGACCATGTCATCATAGATTACCATCATCATTTATTACAATCATATCATTGATCTGATACCCTAACAATCTTCCCCCTTTTGACATCATAAAAAAGGTTAAAGCAGTAAACCAAGTTGCCAGAAATATTTCAAGCAAGTTCATTGTAACATCCCAACTTTTCAAAACGTCTAAATTAACTCGTATCTTTGTGGAAAGACAAGGAGGGTGAGTAATAAATTAAAAATGATGTGGTATGTCATATTTTAAGTGTTCAAGGGTTGTATCTCAAGTTTTGAAGTTAAGTAAGTGGCAAAATAAAAGTTGGCGAAAGTTATCGTAAGTTCCTTTTTAAAGATTTCTCTAAAATTTAGGACAAATGTCTTGGATGTTTTCTCCCAATATATAAAGAGTTAGAAGGCCTATCACCCATTAAATCGAAGGCCTACGAGTTTAGTTTGCAACGCACAAAACCCCGTATCAAACCGATATCGAAGTAAAATATGGTATGTCGGCTTATATAACGTTTTAAGCCATGAAAACATTCCATTTCAGTTCCAAACCAGAGAGAAAGCTTAAGAGAGGGTTCCTATGGAGTTCTAGCCTGATGAAGGTTAGTTTTTGACGATTTCTACCATTAAACATTGCCCCCGTGCCTAGAAACGTAATCCCTACACGTGGCAATCATTTTTCCCTTCTATTAGCTGCGTTTGGAGCTGTTTTTGAAGATATAAATTTGTAGTTATTGGTGTTTCTTCAAGGTTTACACTTGGTTAACTAAGGTAATCATTTCAGGACCCTTTTATGGTTGTTTTTATGAATTTCTACGGACGTTTCGACAAGTTGGGGCAATATGACAAATCTGCCGATTTAAGATTAATTATGAATTGTTTATAGGTGCGTACCAGCTGTGTATATATAGTGTTTGCAAAGCTTAGGACATAAGGAACAACATTCGTGAAGGAACTACGATCTTTCGAGCGTTCATTGGAAAGGTATATTAAGGCTATTCCCTACTTACGACCTGTTTCCTTAAAGCTTAGGAGCAATGTAATTGGGTTGTTATCCTTGTTATACTTGTAGCCATTATTGTTGATTGTTGAATGCTCGAGTTGATATAATCCTCCTTTTTCGAGATTCTTATTTAGTTAGTAGTGTCCCTATGTTGGACATGACTTAGAGTCTATTTGTATAGGTTGCTTATAACTAAATTGCTCGCTTTTAGCGATTAAATTGTTATTGTTTCCCTTGGGGCTATTGTCGTTAGCTGCAGGAATGTGACATATGCCTAGAAGGGCTATGTTCTGCCTACAGGGCTATATGGATGCCTAAAAGGGCTATGAGTTGCCTAAAGGGATATATTGACGCCTAAGAAGGCTATGTGCTTCCTACAGGGCCATGTTGTTGCCTAAGAGTGCTATGAGTTGTCTATAAGCTATGTTGATGCCTAAGAGTACTATGTGCTGCCTACGAGGCTATATTAATGCCTAACAGGGCTATGTGACTGCCTACGGGGCTAGGGGACTACCAATAAGGGTATATAGGCTGATTGGCACCTTCTGGGCTTATGGGGGCCTGAGTAGGTGGTCTTGTGTGTTATTTGTACCTGCCAGGCTTATAAGAGCTTGGTTAGGTTGTTGTTTTATTATTTTTGGTAAGTTTAGATTTAGGAGCAAGTTAGTACACTTATCTTATCCTTGATTTATTTATCAGATTATTCCAGTATATTAGGATACCTCCTCATAGTCTATTGCCTTACATACTCTGTACATTATTTTGTACTGACGCCCCATTGCTTTGGGGGCGCTGCATTCATGCATGCAGGTCCTGACAGACGACCGAGTAGACCACCTCCGCAGCAGGATTGACTTTTATCCGGTTGGCTAGCCCCTTTCCTCCGAAGCTGCCAGAGTTGGGAAATTTGTTACCTTTTTTTGTATATATCTTTATGGGTAGACTGGGGCCCTGTCCCGCTAATCTTTACTACTCTTAGATGCTTGCAGGCTAGTGTATGGGGTGTATAGCTATGTTATGGCCATACTGGCCTATGTTGTTGGTTTGATGAAGCTTGTGAGCTATTTGATGTATTGTATTGATATATACCTGCTTTTAGTTTTGGTATAGATATCATGGTGGCCTTGACGGCCCAATCAGGACTTCTGTGCTAGTTGGCTATTTATTTATATGATCTCATAGGAGTAGTTGTTTCTTTTATAGATCATTTGATAGGGGCCTTGCCGGCCGATGGCATAGTTTTAATCCGAGATATACTTGTTTGTTTTCTTGATTGTGTGTGGCTGCCATGCGCTAGTAGCAAATGGATCAACAGGGTCAACTCGGGCCTGAGTTTTGGCATTAGGAGCCAGTTGCTCCCCTCGAGTTGGGGCGTGACATTCATGGCCACTTGGGCAACATTGAGCATGAGTAAAAATGCATGAAGTAATGAGACAAGTCAGTAGAAACAAGACATTTTTCATTCATAAATAAAAGATCAACAATCAAAGCATTGCAAATATTATTACAAATGAGAACCAAGGATATCCCCACTGAGTTTCGATAGAAAAGAGGAATGAAGACTGACATGGGAAGTTAGGGAGAAAGGGGATGACTTAGGAGCAATGGATGGAAATAATAGTATTAGTCGAACATATCCCTTATCATGGTTTTTTTTAGAAGCTTCTCTTAAAGTTCAGCATGCTTTGCTGCCATTTTTTTTTCAACATGGTCCCTCTGATTGTTCCTCCAGAAGATAAGCCTTCAAACAAAGTATTTTAGTATCCCTGTTAGCAGGAGCAACTGTCATAGCTTCCATATCAAGCCTGAGTTTCTCATGACAAAAGATTAGTAAGATTAAACTTACTCAAGGCCTCCGAGATGAATAGATCTATAATTGAGGAACCATTTCATAATTTTTTTTTCATTTCCAAAATACATTTTTTTTTATCATTTTTTTAAGTCAGACAACCTCCTATTCAACATACTTTGAGTTCTCAGACTATCAACCTTTTCCTTTTTTATCATCATCTTTTCCACCTTTTTCTTTTTGCTTATTGGACCTGGTCCCTCTTCACACTCAAAAATTTCTTGATTGAAAATTCTCCAGTAGGACAAGGATTTAAGCATTAGAAGTGTTTTTGAGAGTGGAGAAAAAAGGGTTTTGAGTATTTCTGAATTTTGGAAAGGAATTTGAGTTTTCTGGGGATATGGAAAGACATATGGAGTACAAGAGATGTGGAAAGGTGTATCAAGTAGATGCGAGTGTCATCTTGGTATTCAAAAGATAGCACACGATTGGATACCTAAATGACAGACATACGGAAATCGCAACGGTTCTCATGCATAATTCAAGTTGCAATGTTAAGAGTGCTAACTTTCGAGAATGGACCGGGTCCCTCTCTGTAAGTTGAACGTTATTGCTTAGATCTGTCCTGACCTCCTTTTTCCTTCAACCCTTTTTCCATGTGCGTATACCTACAAAAGGTATGGGATTGAATTTGCTAAAACATACATAACTAAAAAGCAAG